TAAAATATTCAACAATAAAATTATGTAATATAAATATTGCTAATTAAAAAGCCATAATAAAAAGAGAAAATGCATAAAGATCCCATTCAACTTGTTCTGAAAAATCATTTACACACCTAAACTTTACGGGTGTCCTATTACCACCATATCCTTATCCAAGATGAATTTATTTAACCCCTAAAATGCCACAACCAAATTCTACCCAAGTAGTGTTTACACGCGCTGACACGTGACATTTTCGCAGGTTTTTTCATTTTTTTTCTTTCTTTGACCGGAATAATCGTCCCCCTCCCCCAACCAAACCTTTCTTTCTCTCCTTAAAAATATTCCAAACATTTTTATCAACTTTTCCAGCTTGCCTAAGACATTTCGGTCACATTTGTCGGATCTCCATGGGCAACCAAATTACAATTAAAGAAGTGACTTTTTTAGAAAAAGTTTTTTTGATAGAACCTTTGCAAGAGAAACTAGCTGACTATATTGACAAGAAAATGGTCTCTCTTTTTAGGTTTTTCTCGTCAATTTTTTTCTTCCATCTTGGTTAAAAGATAAATATATAAAGTAAAGTTAATATATAGAGCAGAACCGCAAAGCAAGTGGAAACTAAGAAAGATCCAATAAAGTGTTGGGTTTTCGTTTTCACCTAGGTTGTTTGCTCCGGTCAAGCTGTGAAGAACAATTGGAGGGTGGAGGAGATAATAAAATAGATGTAGAAAGAGCTATCAATCTTTAATTTTTGTTCTGTTACGATTATGATTGTATGGTGTTGCTCTCTTGTGACAATGGAGGAAAGAGAAAGAAGAAAAGGAAAGAGGAAGGAGAAGAAAAGAAAACAGGAAAATGAAAATAAAAAGGGTTAGTATTACACCAAATACAACTAATTAAGTGTAATTAAATGTAACAACCAATGAAAAATTAACATCTGTAAAATTTAAGTAGCTTTTTATATTTTCTCAGCCTTCCACGTGCTTTGAGTAAGGTAAAATTAGTTTCTCTGTCACCTCACCTTTGAAGGAGGTACTAATTTTACTTTGAATAAGAATAGGGTGGTACTAGGACACCCGTAAAGTTTAGGTGTGTAAATGATTTTCCAAGACAAGTTGAATTGGGTCTTTATGCATTTTCTCTAATAAAAATAAACATAATCTAAGAGTATTAAGTCATACTAAAATAAATAGACTAATAAGGGAGTATTAAATACATGACTAAACGCTAAAGAAAAAATAAAAATAGGTTATGCATTTTATTTAAAATATTGCAAAACAAAAAATAGATATTCAATACATTCTCATTCGTAGTATTGAATTAAATTTCTTTTGTTAGAATTAGTATTGATTTGATTTTGGTTTGGGCTTTTGTTAGTACTATTTAATTTACTAATGTTAATGGCTATAAAACTTATTGGAATATTCAAAAGTTCTAAGTCCAACCTTGAAATAATACCTCAAAAAATAAAATTATAAAATCTTTTAAGAAATATTTATAAATTACATCACAATAAGTATATTTATATATTAAATATATCTAAAATTTCTATATATGTAATGTCGGGTTGGTTTGGTTTCGTTTTGACTTTCTTTAGTTAAAACCAAACCAAACCAAACAAATTATGGTCGGTTTTTTTTCCAACACCAAACCAAATCAAACCAACCCATAGTCGGATTTTTTTCCTCGGTTTGACTCGAATTATCGGGTTGGTGCGGTTTGTTGGTTTCCTTTGTACACCCCTAATTTTTAGATTATCAAGATTAACCTGTTGGCTACATCTTTGGTTGATCATTGTGCGTTTATGACTATGCCATACTCAAATTAGAAATAGGGTAGGACCGACAACTAGCTTCTTGGGACTCTAGTAAGTTTATGATAGCGTGCTATTTGGTTTTAGGTTTTGGTCATGAAAAATTGATTCTTACATAGACCATTATGTTATGTAAAACGCGAGACAAGTGAAATGCACGAAATATTATATACTGTTGTTGGCGATATGAGTGATGCAGGCTAGGGTTTTCTTGAAGACATTTCTTAGTCTCTCATTTGAGACACAAAGGAGCTGATAAGTGGCACATAGCAATTGCCACGTGGAAGAATCTGAACCATTGGACATTTTCAATCTCAACCGTCCATGACAGTTGTACCCTACTAAAATAATTCTGTGTACATATTAAGTTAGTTAGGCAGTTATATACAGTGTATAAATACAAGTACTTGTACAGTTAGTGGACAATAATAGAAAATTACAACTTGGGATATTTTGCTCTCAAAATGTCTAGAAGCTTCCTATAATTTTCAATGGTATCAGAGCTAGATCTTTTCGATCTAGATTTAGTTTCTTCAACGACAATTTGTCAATCTTTCTGGATTTATTATCCAGTTTCATTTGAATTCACTGGATTCTACTCCAATTTCTATGTCAAATCCTGTTTCGCTGGATTCTGCAGCGATTTCTGTAATTTCAGGTATAATTTCTAATTCTGAATCTGCGATCGTGACTCCAATGGAGAAAATTAATTGTGATCATCCATATTATTTGTATGCTTCTGATTCCCCTGGTATGGCACTTGTATCTCCTCCTTTTGATGATCTGGATATGAAGGATGGAGAAAATCAGTGTTAATTGCATTATCAACAAATAATAAATTGGGTTTCATCACCTAGACCTAAGGATGGAGCACCAGAACTTAAATATTGGATTAGATGCAATGATATGGTGTTTGCATGACTGCTTAATTCTATGACAGTTGAAATTAGGTCAAGTGTAATTCACTCTAAATCAGCAAGGATTTTATGGAAACAGTTGGAGGACAAGTATGGTCAATCCAATCTCGCATAGTCATTTGAATTGCAAAAACAATTGTTAGAAACTGTGAAAGGATCAAATAATATTGCAACATATTTTAACAAAAGGAAAGCTATATGGGATGAAATAGAGCTGATTGATTCTAGAGTTGTATGCATTTGTGTAGACTGTAAATGTGACTCACTTGAGAAAAATCATGCTATTGAAGAGAGACAAAAATTGGTTCAGTTTTTAATAGGGTTAAATGAGACATATACTGGAATTAGAGGAAGTATAATGATGATGCACCCTTCCCCTACAATTGACAGATCATATTACTTACTTTTACAAGAAGAGAGACAGAGGAGTATACAAAATATTGCCCAATATCCTAGTGAATCTAGTTCTTTTGTTGTGCCTGGGCAGCATTTTGGTCAAAGTAGACAGAAATCTAATATGAATGCAGGAAATGGACTCAATTCTTATAGAAGCAATCAGGAAAATAGAAGACTTTCTTCTGTAACTACTGCAAGAAAGCAGGGCATACCATTGAGAGAGATGCTTCAAGCTTCATGGCTATCCACAGAATTCCAATCCTGTGACCAACAGGCAGCCCAAATATCATTCTTTAGCTCAAGGGAATGCAGTATTCTCTGAAGAAACTACAGGCAGATGAATACAAGTGAAAATGAAGCTACAATTGGAATTACTCAAAATCAACTTGCTGAATTAATGGACAAGCTTCAACAGGTCAAATTTGGTCAACACAGTGCATCATCTTCTGACACTCAGGCAACTGCCAATTGTGCTGATATATTCCTACCTCATTCTGCTTCTTTTCCTAAGCCTACCAAAACTCATTTCTGGATCATTGACTCTGGGGCATCTGAACACATGAGTTTTGATCTTACCATTATGACTAATGTCACACTTCTTGCTAAACCTATCAATGTCACTTTGCCTAATTCTCAAAGAGTTAGAGTCACTCATGCTGGTCAAGTCACTGTTCATCCCCAATTGACCTTACACACAGTCCTATTTGTACTAGATTTTATGTTCAACTTAATTTATGTACATAGACTTTGTAAACAGTTTCATTCTATTCTTACCTTTAGTAATTCTTCCTATTTCTTGCAGGGACTTTCTTTGAGGAGGCCACTGGTTCTTGGTGAAATTCAGGCTGGATTGTATCTTCTTCATTCCACTCATCAACTTGCAGAGTCTTCTGCTCCCCTGCACACACAAAATAAGACTTTAGTCACTCCATTTACTAAATTTGCTACTTTACCTTCAGTATCTAGTTCTAATGCTTCTATGTCTACTTCTGTTGTTTCTTGCACAAATTTGTGGCATATTAGATTGGGGAATTTGCCTCCATCCAGTATGAAATACATTCCTAGTTTTATGCAGCACAGTTCTAATGTGACTGAGTTTCCTTTTACTGTTTGTCCAATGGCCAGACAACATAAATTGCCTTTTTCTACTAGCATCAGTTCTTCCTCACATGCCTTTGAATTGATTCACATAGATACCTGGGGTCCTTACAAGACTTCCACTCATGATGGTTTTAAGTATTTCCTTACAATAGTAAATGACTGTAGTAGGGGTACTTGGACTTATTTGTTAAGTACTAAAAGCAATGCTTTCACTATTTTACAGTCTTTCATTTCCATGGTTGAGACCCAATTTAACACCAAAATCAAAAAGATTGGGTCAGACAATGCCTTTGAAATGGGTAGTAGCATTGTTGCCACTGATTATCTTCTTTCCAAAGGCATCATTCATCAGACATCCTGTGTGGCACCGCCACCCTCAACAGAATGGGGTTGTTGAGCGAAAGCACAAACACCTTTTGGAAACCTGTAGGGTTTTGCTATTTCAGTCTCAAGCCCCCATTTGTTACTGGGGTGAATGTCTCTTGACTGCTACCTTTCTCATAAACAGGTTTCCTACTAAACTTCTTAACTATAAAACTCCTTATAAGGTTATGTTTCATAAGGCTCCTAACTATACTTTTCTTCGCAGTTTTGGTTGCCTATGTTTTGCCTCTACTTTATCCCACCATAGAGGTAAACTTGATCCTAGAGCTGATGCTTGCATCTTTCTGGGTTATCCTTATGGTAAGAAGGGTTATAAACTACTCAATGTTCCAACTCGCAAACTCTTTATCTCCAGAAATGTTGTCTTTCACGAAACTATCTTCCCATTTTCCTTTTTACAAGATCAACCTCCACCTCTATTTCATGTTTCTCCCTCATCCTGTGATCCTATTCCTATTTCTCCTACTACATTCTTTCCTCCACCTTCTCCTGCTACCTCTCCTGGTTCTCCCCCTTCATCTACTCATGTTAGCCAATGTACTCCTTCTACTGTATCTCCCTATTATGTTCCTTCTTTGCCTTCTCCTAATCCCCATTCTGATTCTCATATTACTTCTTCTTCTCCTACCTTTCAAACTATTCTACGCAGGTCTTTTAGGGAGCATAAGGCTCCTACCTACCTAGCTGATTATGTTTGTGGAGTTGTTCATCTTACTGATGTCTCCACTTCCTGTTTTCTTTCTCCTGTACTTCCACAACATTTTTCTTTTGCTACTCTATCTCCTTCCAACCAGAAACTCCTAAGCATCCTACCTCATATTCATGAGCCTAATTCATATTCTGAGGAAACGTCACACCCAGGTTGGCAGGAAACTATGGGAAAGGAAATTGATGCTCTATTAGCCAATGAGACTTGGGAAGTTGTTCCTTTACCTGTTGGGGGGAAAGCCATCCCTTGTAAATGAGTTTATAAGCTCAAGTTGAAGTCTGATGGGAGTGTAGAGAGGTTGAAAGCTCAGCTTGTTATTAGAGGTGATACACAACGTGAAGGTATTGATTTTACGGAGACTTTCTCCCTTGTGGTCAAGATGACCACTATTCGATGCATTCTAGCTTTGGCAGTTAAGAAAAGTTAGGGTTTGTATCAATTAGATGTTAATAATGCGTTTTTATATGGTGATTTACATGGAGAGGTTTATATGAAGTTTCCAGTTGGGATTACTCCTCCTGCTCCTAATATGGTTTGTCGTTTAAAGAAATCTCTCTATGGTCTTCGTCAAGCTTCACAACAGTGGTATGCTCGTCTCACTGCTTCTCTCAATTTTAAAGGTTTCAGTCATTCCCTAAATGATTACTCCCTTTTTTATAAGAAATCTGGGGATTCTATTTCTTCGGTGTCTGTGTTGATGATATACTTCTTACGGGTAACAATGTGGCAGAACTAGATGATTTGAAATTGTTTCTAGATGATGAATTCAAAATCAAAGACTTAGGACACTTATCTTATTTTTTGGGAATAGAGGTTCTTCGTGAGTCTTCTGGGCTCATCCCGACTCAGCGCAAATTTGCCCTTGAGCTTCTTTCTAAATTCGATTGCCTTGGCCTGACCTCTACTTCTTCCTCTCTGGATCCTTCCGTTAAGTTGCATGCTGATGATGGTACTCTTCTTCCTGACCCTACTGTGTATCGTCGCATTTTTGGGAAATTAAATTTTTTGACACACACTCACCCAGATTTGAGCTTTGTCGTTCAGCACTTGAGCCAATTTATGCAGGCCCCACGTGTTTCTCACTTATCTGCTGCTTTCCACTGCCTTCGTTATCTGTTGCTTGACCCTGGCATGGGCTTGTTCATGTCTGCTGCCCCGTCTCTTGATTTGATGGCTTTTTGCGACTCTGATTGGGGTTCTTGCCCGGACTCTCGCCGTTCTATTAGTGGGTTCTTTATCAGCCTTGGTAGTTGCCCTATTTATTAGAAATCCAAGAAACAACCGTCTGTTTCCCTCTCCTCCGCTGAGGCTGAATACAGATCTATGCGTCAGGTGGTCGCTGAACTCACTTGGCTTGTTCGTCTGCTTGATGACCTTTCTATTCCACCATCCTTGTCGGTTCCCCTTCACTCTGATAGTCAGGTGGAGATCCACATCGCCACAAATCCGGTCTTTCATGAACGCACGAAGCATGTGGAGCTTGATTGCCACTTTGTGCGTCAGCAGTTTTAGGCTGGTTTAATTTCCTTAACATTTGTTCCGTCACACTCACAGTTGGCCGACGTCTTCACCTAACCCCTCTTTGGTCCACTTCATCATTCTTTGTTAGGCAAGCCGGGGGTTCTTTCTTCACCCTCCACCTTCGGAGGTGTTGGCGATATGGGTGATGCGGGCTAGGGTTTTCTTGAAGACATTTCTTAGTCTCTCATTTGAGACACAAATGAGCTGATAAGTGGCACATAGCAATTTCCACGTGGAAGAATCTGAATCATTGGACATTTTCAATCTCAACCGTCCAAGACAGTTGTACCCCATTAAAATAATTTTGTGTACATATTAAGTTAGTTAGGCAGTTATATACAATGTATAAATACAGGTACTTGTACAGTTAGTGGACAATAATAGAAAATTACAACTTGGGATATTTTGCTCTCAAAATGTCTAGAAGTTTCCTATAACTTTTCATAGTGTTGCAATTCAAGTAAGCCCGGTTTAGTTCGTTTTATTAGAGTTCAGTTTTAGATCAATTGGCTTGATTATTTTCTTCGATTGGAGCTTATAGGTTAGGCTGTTTTTTTAACACGGAAAAAAGGAGCTTCAAATAATATATTTATGTTAAGTTGCCTTAATAACTTTCTATACAAATCATAATCATCTTGAAATTTGATAATAGCAAGTATACCAACCCTTTATATAAAGAAAAAGCCAATAAGAAAAAAGAAACAGTAATATAGTAATAGAATTACCTGCGCGAGTAAAATTTTACCTGCGCAAGTAAAAAAAATTCTCAAACTTCAACTATGGTGTTTGAGCATAGAGCAAAGGGCCGATGGACGTGAGTAGAGCAGAATAATTAAGGGCTTTTTTCATTTTTAGCCCGCGTCAGAAACTATTTATATGATAGTCGAAAAAGTGTATAAAATTTGTATAATTTTTGTATATAATTTTATATAACATACAGAATGTGTGTGTGTATATATATATATATAAATATATATTTTTCCGGATATTATTTTGAGAGCGACTATATAGTGTCATTTCTCTAATAATTAATTTGTTTAGTTTAGTTACGATCAATATGGTATCAAAACCAGACTTTCACAATATGTTGGTGTTTTGCTCTGAGCGAGGACGTTGAATCCTAAGGATAAGGTGTGTGACACCCATGACAAACGACAAGCCGATTAGGGCAGGTCAAAGATGATTGGCAGACTTGCAATCTAACAAGCTTCCGAATAAGAATTGTATATGACACCTTATGCAAATCTCGCACCAGAAAGGAAGGTAGAAGTCAATCTTAATTAGTTCATGAGGCAAAGCACAAGTTATCATAGTATGGCCATTTTTGAACTCGATAATGGCTTCGGCCTAAAGGACAAATTTGAGAGATCTATTAGGCTAAAACGACACTATAGATTTAGACAGTGACAAATATGAGGGGGAAGTGCACGGTTAGCCACTAATAAGACATGCATTTACTTTTAAGCTACTGTTTAAATTGTCTTTAGTTTTTAGTCACTGCTTTAATAGACTTTACCCGCCCGGACGAAAATACCCTTATGCTCATAAAGTTCAGGACCAAGTGTCCTTAACTTATGAGCTTGTTACTGTAAGTTCAGGACTAGTTGTCCTTAATTTATGAGCTTGTAAGTCTAAGTTTAGGACTAGTGTCCTTAATTTTTGAACTTGTAACTCTAAATTCAGGACTACGTGTCCTAAACTTTTGAACTTGGAACTCGAAGTTCAGGACTACCTGTCCTTAAATTCTGTGCTTGTAACTCTAAGTTAAGGACTGTCTGTCTTTAATTTGTGTACTTGTAACTCTAAGTTAAGCACCAAGTGTCCTTAATTTTTGAACTTCCAACTCTAAGTTCAGGACCAAGTGTCCTTAACTTATGAGTTTGTTATTGTAAGTTCAAGACTAGTTGTCCTTAATTTATGAGCTTGTAAGTCTAAGTTAAGGACTACATGTCCTTAGTTTTTGAGCTTGTAACTCTAAGTTCAGGACTACATGTCCTTAACTTTTGAACTTGTAACTCTAAGTTCAGGATTACATGTCCTTAATTTCTGTGCTTGTAACTCTAAGTTAAGGACCAAGTGTCCTTAATTTTTGAACTTCAAACTATTAAGTGGCAGCAAAATCTCTACTTTGCTTAGAGAGTGCAGTTTGCGCCCGGTCAACGATCTTTATCTGAATTGTTTCTCCATGTTTACAAGCTCTAGGTAATATTGAGTTAATGCAACTGATGAAATACTGTCTCCCACAAGCAGCTCCATTGTCCCAAATCCCTTCCCCAGCTGCTGCAAAGAAGTTGCTTGAAGGAAACTGTGTTGCATCACTTCCATAACATTCAGTAGCTGTTAAGTAATCATTTTTTTCTGTAATAAATTTAGAAAGCAAATCATCACAATTGTTTATGGGTGTGATGAGTGCTTGCCTTTATTTGGTGGAAGTGAAGAATGCTTGTCACCGTAATTTGCAGTTTGTTCAAAAGCATCTTGGCTTTTGAACAATGTAGCCCACCTTTGCGAATGATAACATGTCTCTGCATCGAACTTGAGAGAGAAGCGAGGGTTTGGGAAGAAAAGCAATGGAAAAAAGGGTAAAAATATCTTTTTATATTACTTTTAATAGAGTTGTGATTATTTTTGCTCAATATTAAAATTGCTGGATAAAAAATAAATACCACATTTAATAGTGGTTACCCCACGCTATTTTTACCAAATATGAAACATTATTCATATGTTGATTGTTGAACTTTAGTCTTAAGCTGATGATTTAATCGATTATTGGGTTTGGGATGTGGCTAATGTCAGGATACGTTTGGTTTAGTGGTTAAGGCTCAAGAGCCATATATAAAGTACAAAGATAATCGGATTTTCAGATTGCGATTTCCAAAAATGATGCTCCATTGATAACATTTACTTAGATGCTTGCTGTCTGATTTATAAAACAGGTTATTGAAAATATTTTAGGATAACAACTTTTGATCCCTCAACAATAACAACAACGACCCAATATAGTCCCACAAGTGGGGTATGAGGAGGGTAGTGTGTATGCAGACCTTACCTCTACATCATCGGGATAGAGAGACTATTTCCGATGTGATATTTAATTAAACACATTTAAACTTCAATTAGCTAAATATGTGTTTTTGGTCCCTTCATATGGAAAATATGTACTAAACATTTAGACTATTTGGATAACTATGTTACACTCAAATATGGAATAGAAGTACAAACTTAACATCAAGCATGGATAGATTTAATGACGTAGTGGTTAATAGAGATCACAAGAAGAGGGATCAATAGAGCATATTTCAAATAATTGAAGGCTAAATATACTCAACCAGATATCACAAGGATTAAAATTAAAATTTATCAATAATTATGGGATTAATAGCGCAAATTTCCCAAATATTTTATATATTAGTTGAATAATTTTGATTTTTTAACCAAAATAGTAAACATTATTTTCGAGAAGTATATATCCCCTCTATGTGGAGCATTCTTGAAGAAGAAGAAAATTTCTGTGAACACCCACTGTTTATGTAAAGAAAAACAAAACAGGGGGCAGAGATTCCAGAATTTCTCCTAAATTCACACTTCCCTTCACCTCTCACACATGCATTAAACCCTAATTCACAAAATCCTCATCAGTGACATGGACGCCGCCCAAAATCCTTTATGCGCACAAGAAACACTCGATCTTCTAAATTGCACCACTGAGAAGCCTTACGATAAGGAGAAATGCCAACGTCTGCTCGAATCCTTGCGCCAATGCGTCCTTAACAAGGTAATTAAAATTTATTATGGTGTGAGCCTCTTTTTAAAAAAATATGTTTTGTGATGCTTATTATTGGTTTTGATTCTGTTCCTTACTGTTGTTTTTTTTAACTCCACTTGAATTTTGATCTGCATTTTTCACCTTTGGGTGGCTAGTTAGGCGAATAGCTGGATAATCCGTCTAGAGGAACTGTAATTAAGGGTTTTAAAGCAGAAGTTCGTTGTTTTTTTAAACTGAATTAAGTTATAACTATTGCAAGGGGTGACTTAGCGGTCAATGAGTTGGAGTTACAACTTTAGGACTCAAGGTTCAAATTACTAAGGCCACCTATGTGAATTTTCATGTGCTTAAGCCTTGGTACACAAAGTTGTCCAATACTTGCTGGAGGGGTGTATTAGGTACTCAGTGGATTAGTAGACCTATGCGCGAGCTGAGTTGGACTCAGCTGTTAAACAAATGCAAGCTAGTGGATTTCTTGTTTTGCACTATCTTTAGATTGTATAAACTACCTGTTGAGTGAAGCAAAATTCATTTTATATCTAGAGTTACTGGCTTTTTTTCATACTTTATGGTGCAACTTTTAGATCATGGAAAGGATCAGGGGAAAATACAATCATTAAGAAGTGCCTAACCCTTATTGCTTGTGCATTTTAGATATGGAAGAAAAGAAAATGAGGTTCTAGGAATTGTTTCCGGGGAGTGATAGAAAGATTATATTGACGTGATCGAAGCATGATGTTTCCATAGGTGCATATAATACATTAGATAGTGCCAACATACAAAATTGAGTTATGAGCGATTTTTTTAATAACATTGGTGTAAGGGACTGCTTGCACGCTCCTCGATTATTCTACTGGGTACCTGCCACCTCCCACCAGCATAACTACCTTGTAATTTTGTCCGAGATGATGCATGTTTTGCGGTCTTGGCAAATGAGTCTCATATAACGAAATTAACCAATCAAACCATATCAGGAGTTTTATCTCGTCAAGAGAAACACAACAATGAAAATCTCATCTTATAATCCTCCACCTACACCTACATGCTTGGCTTGAAGTCTTTCTGCCAACAATGCGAATGTTCACTGCCGCTCATTCTTGTCTAAACTGATGTCATACAGCCATTTCACTTACCTGATATGTCTAATCAATAGTCACACACCTAGTCGGCAAAGTTTTCAGAAAGTTGGCTGGAGTTTTACTATGTTTGATTTTATTTTAGCATACTATTTTGTCATATTCAAACCAGAGACAAAATATTAATTGTGTTCATAGGGGAGCACGCTTTATGGAGGGAGGTAGTAGTAGAGAAGTATGGTTTTATAGAAGGAGGGTGGTGGAGGACTAAATCTATCACGATCTTGTTTGGGTGTACTATGTGGCTGAATATTATGAAGGGGAGGGAAGATTTCAGTGATCATATTACTTTTAGGGTTGGGGATGGGAGAAGAATTAGCTTTTGGAACCGTAAGTGATTAAGTGGTGTGGGGAGGATGCATTGAGGGTTTCATTCCCTAATGTGTTCAGAGTTTCGAACCAAGGTGATTTGTCATCAAATTCAAAGGGTGCAAGAGGAAGAAGTACTCTTGGGATCTAAGGTTTAGGAGAAATTTACTAGACTCAGAGTTGGGGGATTTCCAAAGGTTGCTGGAGGTACTATATAAACAGATCGTACATGCATCCAATCAGGATTCATGGAGATAGGAGCTGAGGAGTGATGGCTTGTTCACGGTCAAACCTTTTTACCAGAAGTTGCTGGTGAGAGAGAATACATGTTCGCCACACTTATCTGTTTGGATCCCAAGGATGCCTAGGAAACTGTGGTTTCTCACTTGGATGGCAGCGAGGGAGGCGATTCTGCCGGCTGAGAATATGAGGAAGAAAAATATTACTTCTGTAGTTGGTGATGTATGTGTAAATGTTCGGATGAAGAAGTTGATCATCTTTTGGTGCATCGTAGGGTGGTGTCGGGTCTGTGCCTTTGTGGAGGGTGATCTTGAACTGGTTTTGTATAAAGTGGGTGATGCCAGACATTGTTAGAGATGTGTTGCATAGATGGGCTAGTAGACGTAGGAGAAGAAGACAAAGGGCATGGAAGGCTACTCTACTAGCTCTTATGTGGGTCATATGGAGGGAGAGAAACACGAGAGCATGTGAGGGGATTGAAAATGATTTTGTACACTTGAGGAATACTTTTGTCTTTGATCGCTTTTTGGTGCACCCATGAAACTCCTATTCATAGAAAATCATGTTTTGTTGTAGCCTGTAGGTTCTCTACTTTTTGGTATACCTGTTGTATACGGGAGTGTTCCCAATGTTAATTAAGTTATTTGCCACATAAAAAATAAAAAATCCGTTGTGTTCGTAGCAAACAGTTTTTGATGAAGGTGTATTGGTTGGAAGTTTGAAGCACATGAGGATAGGTTGTAGAATATGTCTAGGTTTATTAGGCAACCGCTTCATTAGTGTAAAGTAATTAGGTAATGATTTATTGTTATTAAACAGTGACTTAATTGCTATAACATAAATTAAACAACTCTTTTAGTAATGTCATTTGGCGTTAGGAATTGCAGTAAACAAGGCATCATTGTATGTACAAATACACAAGAATTAAGAAACACATTCTCAAACTTTTGTTCCGCTCTAACTTTTTCCCCAAAGTTACCGTGATTTTCTAATCCTGTAGCCATTGCAACTTGGGCTCAGCTTTTCGGGAGTAACATAATACAACAACAACAACATACCCAGTATATTCCCAGCATAATAGAGATTCGGAATTCTAAATTAGCAATCCAAATAATTATCCTTTTGTTTTCAGTTTGTGTTGCAGCTTTTGTTTCTAAATGCAAGAGAAATTTATCAAAAATTGATTCCAATAATGATTTATTAGTAATTTTATCATGTTAAACCTTTCAATTATCTTATATCAAGAAATCATTATGCTTTAGACTAAGGTTTTTGAAGTTTTATATGGACGATATGATCAAAAGAAACCTTTTCCCTGCAAAATCTGTTTGGGTTAGGTGGAGAATTGTGAGCTCGTGTTTGTGTTTATAGGTACAATGTGCTAGAAAAATGTGCAAAGACAAAAAATAACTTAGCGGTGGATTGGTGGTAGAGAGTGAATACATTTGTAGCGGAATTTGACCCAGTCGGCTGATTTGGTGCAAAACACATGGATTTGGCCTAAATTAAATTATTGAAAATGAATCTCAAACTTAGGCCAATTTACAGTTTGTAACCAAGATAACCACGTAAGTCATGTGCATTACCAAAGATGCACAAACAGTCGTGGAAAGCGGTCATTATCATTAAAAAAAAGAAAGGAGAGAGTGATGAGAAAGAGAGACGGGTAGGTGGTGGTAATAAATTGTTCCATGTGCTTCTATCCTTTCAGTTCTTCATATATTACTGTTGTCTTGTAAGTTTTCATCCTAAAGAAATTAGAACGTCCAGATCATTATTGGATTTGTAGAAGAGTGAAGAAACACTTTAAATTGCTTTGTTAAGACTTCCTTTTTGCCTTTGGTTTTCTGTTTGATATCTTTCTAATTGATATTATTAACGAGCCATTTTGTTTGTTTTGTGTATCTATTGGCAATGTGATTATATTTCCATTCCTGTTGCAAATGCTACTTGTGCCAATCAATAATTAAAAAAAATGCTACTTGTAGAGTGAATTCACCATTTACAGTTTTGATTTAAGGCCTAAGTGTGTTGAGCTCCAAGGAGCCTTCCAACTATCTTGCTAGATAGGGGTGGGCATATATCGGGTAAAACCGATAACCCGAACCGTTAATTCTTTATTGGGTTATCAGTATTGGGTTAACGGTTCGGTAACTGGTTAAATTTTTTTTTTATTGGGTTATCGGTTCGGGCTCGGTTTGCATTTTTGTTATTGGGTAAAAACCGATAACCCAATAAGAATGATGTAATTTACTAATTTACCCTTAAGTATATACTAGGGTTATTTATTTTCCTAATTCCCTCTTCAGTCTTCAGTCGTTTGTCTCTCAGTTCTCATTCTTATTTCCGTCGCAGCCCCCAAGAGTCAAGACGCAAGACTCACCACCAGTTCTCCGCCAGACATCAGTAGATACTGCACAGAAGTGGGAGCGTGCTTTTGTTAAGAAACAACAAAAGTTGGCAGTTTACACGTTCTGGCAGTTTGATTTCTTTGTTTTATATATTGCAAATTTTTTTAGTTTTATGTTATCGGGTAAACCGATAACCGAACCGATAACGATATATAATCGATTAACCGATAACCAATATCTTATCGGTTTGGTTATCGGGTTATGATATTTGTAAACCGATAACCGATAGACAAAACCGATAATGTTCAAAACCGAACCGAACCGACCGATGCCCGCCCCTATTGCTAGATACAACAACACTCCTCAATACCAAGCAAGTTAAGGTCAGCTATATGAATTCTCGGTTACCATGTCACTCTCACTCTGTTTAAGCTCATCAAATATCTTGCTAGATGTAATTGCCAAAAGCTCATTATGGAGCATGTTCCTGTTGTTAGTTTATTTTCTGTATGCCGCAATCGGCTTCTTTAGTAAAGGCTAATTCCTGAAAGGAAAATTACTCTTGTGTTGCAAAGAAAAATATATTAATGAACATTTGGTTTTTAGATGTTCTTGAATGAGGCTTTCTGTTATGCATCTAAGCAGAAAATATGTATAAGAAACTTGTATCAGTCTCTGTTCCAGATTTGGATGAAATGGTTCTTTTAATCAGAGGCGGACCCAGGATTTGAGCAAGACTGGGGCACACCACTGTATGCTAATCACCAGCGATATATATATATATATATATATATATATATATATATATATGCTAATCTCTATATGCTATCGCTGGTGATTAGCATATAGAGAGAGAGAGAAAGAGAGATTTCTTCGCAAAATGGATACTATGGGAAGAGAAGGAATAAAATTAATTAAGTTGACTATTGTGTATTAGTACTAAACTATAAATGAAATAAAAAAGAAGATAAAAGTAAAAAAAAAAAAAAGCAATTTGTTATTAAATATAAATTATATTGTATTCAAAGAACTAAAATATTAATAAAGTTGACTATTATATATTAGTACTAAATTATAATTGAATTTAAAAAGAAGAAGATAAAAGTAAAAGATAAATCAATTTGCTATTAAATATAAATTACATTTTACTCAAAGAATAAAAATAAAAAGAGGAGAAAAAAGCTAAAGGGGAGTTTCGAACCAACGTCCTCATCATAGTTGGGAATTAAAGGGCCCAAAGTAATCACTTCTCTCATCCACCTCTTTGTTTTAGGGGGTACACTTAAAATATTTAAGGGGTCCCATATATATGTACAAATATATATAATATGTATATACAGGATTTATGCCGAGGCTAACGGGATCACGTGACCCCTCAAGCCACCATGTAGGTCCGCCTCTGCTTTTAATCATACTCCAACGAGTCTAAGCACTCTAATGGTTATTTCAGTGGGAGATGCTATATGTTTTAGCTCCTTGTGCATAGTGGTTATTAGGCTTTCATTATCAGTAATTTCATCTCCTCTTGCAGAAAATAAAGAAATTCTTGCTTGCTGAAGTGATCTTTGGGAACACAGAAGGGACCACTGAGAAAAGAAGTTAATCCCTGGTGGAGTCAGAGTGTGAACTGTGATGTTGAACTCTTGTAATTCAGACCACTGGGTACCTTGCTTGTCTAGCGCAATAGAATTTTAACTGCTTGTGCTAACAGAAAATAGATTTTTGACGTGTAAAATTATGTCCTAAATACATTGCTGTCATTTCATTTTACATCAAGCATTTTAAGACTTTCTTAATGATCAAATTTTAGTTTCCTCTTGATCTGAAAAGTATTACGACATAGGGTTTATGCTAGATTTTTCCTATTCAACACTTTGTTAGGTAGAAGTTGTCAGTCATTCTTGGTATTGGTGGTACAATTTACAGTAAAGGTTGACGGATTGACGATAGTATGCACAAAATTTCCCTGCTAATCAGATACAGAATGAATGCTTAATGTACGACTTATAAATTAGATAGAATTTAAGGGTCCACCAAACTCTATAGAGAACCAGTTTCAACAGAATACACGCACACTACAGTAAGTAAATGACAAGAAGAATTTTACGTGGAACATTCTCAGTTCAATGGTATTAAAAACCACAACCTACCCTTGTAGGATTTCAACTTCACTACTGAGCAACTTTCAGATTACAACATATGCAACCTAGGAATTAACTTTTTAATCCCTTACTAACTTGTAATACTCTATTACAAGCTGCATTGTAATAATTCTATTACAAAGATTTTACAACTCGACTAACTCTAGTCAAGACTCAAACACATGAGTTTAAGATTTACAAAGGGTTTCCTATAGAATACTTCTCAACAAGCTAAGTAGGAATTACAATTGAAGAACTATTACAAAGTTACAACTCAACTAAGGACATACAATAACTTGATGTGGGGAACTGGTCCGTAACAATGTTGTTCTTTGTTCTTGATGCGCTTGAGAATTGTTTACTTGATGATCAATGACCGTGGAAATGCTTGAGTAAATTCTCTAAGTGTTCAAGTGATATGTTTTATCTTCCTTGATGTTAATAATACATTTGTGACATCCCTTGGGATGATGTAAGCAAGGTACGTAAAAGACACTCCCCATAAAGTTGACTGTTGCACTGTTCCTGTACTGTAGCGTGTGCAGGCAGCAACTTTACAGCTGGGGCAGTTGACTTGTGCAGTTTCCTTGGGAAACGGTAGCTATCTGTTCCCTCTATTGTTCCTCTAACTCTGAAGAGTTGAACCATATCCCAAGCTGGAACCTTGATTTTAAGGTCTTGAGAATATGTAACAGGTTCCTAGTCTGGTTCTTGACAGTAAGTTTGTTAGATCATCAAAACATAAAACAAGGTACTTGTAACCTATCAATTTTCCCCTTTTTGATGATGACAAACTTATAATTGAAAATCCCCGAAAGAGCCACACAGAACCAAACTGTGAACCATAAAAGAAAGAGCCGCATAGAACCAGACAATGAACTAGAAAGACCGTAAGTTTCCCCTTAATCAGTGCATAGCATCATTATTTCATTATTCAATTATGCACATTTCTTCCCCCTTCTGGCATCATAAAAATTATAGTAACAAGCTTATAGCAAAAAGAAGTCAAGCTTGAGCTAACTTATGCCACTTGTATGCATACACCATGACTAAAAACAGAGCATAAAGACAAGGCATAGACAGCAAAAAGGGAAAAGCTTGCATTAACATAATTTGGATTTTGTAACAGGAGCAGAGTCAATGTTACTACCACCATCCACAATTTTGAACAAAAAAAAAATACCGCAAACATCATCATAAGAACTGACACTGAGGGACCTGACCACAAACTAGATCATAATAAAGCAACACTAAAGACTTGACATTGAGGGGATACTATTTAGGGAGCACTAGAAGGAGAGGGCTAGGATGCAGAGGCAAGGGTTTGGAAGACTAAATTCATTCGAGCATTCGCTGACATTTACTTGTTGATCAGTCTCTCTTTCAGGTCCTCCACTTATTTTCTGAGCTCAACATTCTCTTTTGTCAGACGAGTAACCTCTTCGCTTTGAGAACTACTAGAACCAGGTGCCTCATGCAGCTGACCTAACTGAGTTTCAAGGATAGCATTCCCATTTTTCAATTGCCTTATCTCAGCAGTAACACTGTTCTGAGCATTGATCAACTGAGATATGGTAGAAGTTCTTCCAACCCCTCCAACTTTCTCAATACACTCACATTCTTCAAGAGTAGCTTTGGAGAAAGTTTACTTCTTAGTGCCCATTTTAGCTTGACCCAGAGGAACCTTGAAGTGCTTAAAGACCTTGGTGAGAAGGAACCCATAAGGCAGCCCATGATTACCATCTTTAAAAGCTGTCACTTTATTCATGTGCTCTATCATGATCTCAGGCAGGTTGATGGTAATGAAGTTGTCAAATCCTTCCATGAGGAACAGGTCTACACGAGAGGTGATAGATCTTCTCTCAGCTCAAGGCAGCAATACCTTGTTCACCATCTCAAATAGTAGTTAATATACAGAAATGAGGCCCTTCCTCTGAACCTGTTCCCCCTACTGAACTGCTCTGTTCTTCAAGATGGCGTTTTTGAAGTTTTGAGAACAGGATCCCTGAACACTAGACAACCCTTCAGCAGGCACACCATGAATAGACCCCAACAAAGCAGAGTCCATTACCATATCAACTCTATTCATCAACACACAGATGTGATCATCCTCAACTTTGAATAAGTTGGCATAGAAACTTTGAACTTCCTCCTCATACACCTTTGGAGCATCATTTGTGAACAAATGTGTCCACTGTTGGAACTAACAGATCTCAACCAGCTGTCACGTACCATCCTCCTCCAAGATATCAAAGGCAAATGTGCAGTCCCATAGCACCTTTTGACTCCTCAATCTCTCTTTCCTAGCACTTCTTGGATCACCAACTCTGGCCTCTTTTGAGGAACCAGGTTCCTCATCAGAATCAACTTTTCTTTTAGCAAACTTGCGAACATTCTTCCCTTTTTCACTAGACTTCACAGACTTTTCATCCAATTCTTCCATCACACCGGCACCAGACTCTTCTACAGACTTATCACAAGGTTCTTTCACTACAGTTTCACTAGAGACAAAATCATCAGACTTGTTTAGATTTTAGCAGACACAGAAGATCCCCTTTTTGGCTTGGGGAGACCATGCTTCTGTGAGAGCTTTCTAGTCAAAGAACCATGTTCCTCGGCTTCTTCCTCATCCACATGCACAACATGTACTAATTTCTCACTCACAGCTTTCCCATCTTTCACCAACTTTCTTCTCCTTGACTTAGCATTGCTGTTCTTAAGAGTATACTCAAGAGCCTCCTTCCTTTGCAACCTTGTAATGGGTCGCTTAGGAGTAGAATCTTGAGCAGCCATTGGTCTACGCTTAGTCAAGCTTGCTATTTGCATATCATCAGAATCCTCTTCACTATCCCTTTTTTTCTTCCCTAGACACAGATCTTTCCTCAAGCACCACCACACATAATGGCTCAGTATCAAAATGAGGAGATGGAGCAAGGTCAATACTGACTTGGGCTCTTGAGAGGACCACTGAGTTGGATCCTCCGAGGAGGGATCAGGTCCTTCATGAGGAACCACAGTAGTATGGTCCTGTGCTGATTGAGCAACAGGCACAAGTTCTCCACCCTCTACCACAGTCCTAGACTCTTCACCCTGAGTCTCAGTCTCAACCTTACTTTCTTCAGCAATAACCCCTTTACCAGTTATGGACAACATGTTCTCTATTGCTTCTTTCTTGTGTACACCCATGGAAAACTCAGGAGAGGAAGGAGTGTTACCTGTGGACGCAAGATCAGGAACAACCTTTGTTGAGTCAACATTCTCAGAACCATCAGTTTGATCTACCTTTGACCCTTCTTTCATAGGAGAACTTGAAATTTCTTGATTTTGTTCTTTGTAAGCAGTACTCTTTACATCCCCTTTTTCCGGCGAAATAGAAGGAGAGCTCGGGGCTACAAAACTTTTAGGAGTCGAGATTTTGCGACTCCTATGAGAACTAGAACTCGATTGGGTGGGAAAAGAGATGGAGCGTGAGGGTGAATCTGCCCTAGGGTTTTGGCTAGTAGTGGTGTTGAGGGAGGAGTCTAATATCG